GTTTATTTTGGTCAGCCGTGGTAGGTCTCTCAGGGCGGACTCTACCCATGGGGGAGACTAGCAGCATTCACCTCTGCCTGTGATTGGCGAAGTAAATTGTTAAGAAAATGTTCTTAACATTCCACTGTTGAATAAAACCAATTTACTTCAGCCTCCTTGGTAATAAAATGGCTATTTTCATCTCCATCAGTCCGTCTCTAGGTCTTATTTTTCAGTTGATTCTAAATTCTGTAAGAGAAGAAAGAGATGTTATTTAGTGACTCCCTAGGACTCCAGTGAAGCCTTCTTTAGAATGTAAAACTACAACCTCAACCCCAGCAGCAGATCCCAGATCCCCTTTGGATCCTATGTAATTACATTGAGCCAAACGCAAAAGTATAATTTTACTGACAGCGTAATTCACACTCTACTCACAGGTCATCCATTAGCCAGTACCCAAGGATGATCTTTTTTCTGCTAATATCACACACCAAGGATGTTAAGCTGAAACTAAAAATTAAGTAAAACACCGTGGTGGACCTATAGATCTGCTCTAACCACTCCAGGTGAGGGGAGATATATTCTCTCGAGGGACTAAGCAAAAGAAGCCGTGATAGGCAGGACAGGTGGTAAGGAATGAGGTGTGGGAGAAACATCAGACTAAGGTAAAATTCTGTGCATTCAACAGTTGGTTCCGTATCCCTTATCTAGTGCTGTGTAACAAACAACCTCAAAACTTCACACCTTAGAAACGCCCACCATTTTATCTGCTTACAAATTGCTCAGCAATTTTGGGATGGGCTTTTTGGGCTGGCGGGACAAACTTCCACACGTGCCTGGGCTCAAAATTTTCATTTCTTTTGTCACCTTTCTCAGGAAATCCAAGCAAACTAAAGAGCAAAATAATAAAATAGGAACCTGCAAAGATACGGTATCCATCCTAGCAGAGTGGCAAAGCCCAAGATGACAGACAGCTGCTCTAAGGGCAGACAGAACACGAGTCTATACAGGACCAAGAGGATCAGAGTTTAAAAAACAAAAGAAAAAAAATGAAAGAAAAGAAACCAAAAGGTTGTCAGACACCTTGTGGAGCAATCAGAGAAAAAAGTATTTACAGGTATATGACAGCACGGATGAAAAAAAGAAAATAATGTTCTGCATCAACATAATAATGTAAATCATATTACCCATAATGATGTAAATATTGACTACTGATTTGGGAAATCGGTGTATGTGGGGGGATGTGTCAGAAAACCTCATTTACCAAAAATCAGGTGAATCGATCCGTAAGGAAAACCCATGACAATCATATGATGATTACAGAACAAAATACCAGAAGAGACCAGCCAAAGAATTGGAAAGGTTGCTTCTGGAACACCAGACAGGAGTATGGGGAGGGATGGGGCAAATGACAATGGCAACTTGTAAGCTCTATATAACTATTAGATTTTCAGCCTTGTCAAAAATAATGTTCAAACCTTTTTTAAAACAATGCCTACCTCTGCATCCTAGGTTGGGACTAGAGAGGGAGCCTCTCCTTAGAGGACTGTTTCCAAAGTGCTAAGTGTTCTTTGCATCTTGACCCCTGGCTGCTTCTTAGGGGCCCCAAGTCCATTTGGAAATGAGTCACAAGACAAACATCCAGCTCATCCTGATAATGAATCTGAGGTCAGTTCTGGCCTCTGGGTCTTGGGTTGATAGCTTTTCTGACTTGACATTTCACTGTGGAAATATGCATAAAGGAGAAAAATGCACAACAAGCATCGAAAATATATCCAGTACAGCTGCCAGGCATGTCAAGTCCCCTATAGTCTGAGGCATGACTATATCCCGAGCACTTACAGTAAACCAACCCTGGGCTGAATAGTTACATGTATTACCTAGTTTTCATAATCTTAAGAAGCCATGCATTACTGTCCCATAGTCCAGATAAGGAAGCCGACATTGAAGAAGGTTAACAGTTTTGTTAGTAAATGACATAGCCAGGAGTGGGACCCAGCTCTCCAGGCTGTGCCAACCCTGAGTTTATTATCACCCTATAGTGCCAACTCAGCCCTCTGCACCTGCTTCCGTGGTCCTAGAGAGGTGCTACCAATGTATTGTCCTTCTGCACACATTTCTTACTTTAAATCAACTCTTCCCTAACACTGACTGGGGTGGGGTGGTGGGCACGGTCAGCTTCCTGAGCATGCAGTCACACAGGACCTCACACTGAGAAGGACCGCATCCTTGGTGGAAATGCTCTGCCATCAGCGTCCTGGAAATCTGAATCTTTTAACTTAGTTTTGTCAGTGAAGTCCAATGGGACAATGGAGCATGTGTGAGGAGAATGGGCAATCTGTGCGCGCACAGTCCCTTGCCCCCTGACTCACACAGAGCATTGCCAATGCCCGAGTAGAATTCAAGCAGCCCCACAAGGAGCCTAAGTGCAACAAGACTCAAAGCCAAGTATTAGTGTGTTAAGTCTGCAACCGAGTACGCTGGGGTACTGACAGCCCCAGGAGGACATGCTTCCCATTCAAACCAGAACTTTCTTTGAGCAAAACAAAAGAGATGACTGAGGAACCCTATCTTAGCCCTTTTCACTTGTGATACCTCTCTGTGAGCCACTCACCTAGGCTGGAATGATGACATAGAAAGGTCAGCCCCTCATGCCTCTTCTTTTCACTGTCCTTACTCATCAGTAAGGTAAGGTATGGATAGAACGCACACACGTCAAGAAGAAAAATAAAAAGTTTTATGCAGCATTTCTGCTGTTCTGGTAGGAACAAAATACATGTAGGAGCTACAAAATGAGTTGTGTAATTTCAGCAATTCCACGTGAGAGTTGGAAGCTCTTATCTTTACATTTGAAGTTGGCATTGCACAATATAAAGGCGAACCTTATGCTCGTAATTTAAATATGCTAATATTATGCTAATAATTTAAATTTAAATCTTACTTAGAATAACACCACCCAACAACATTTTAAAAGCCCTAAGTCAAGAGAGAGAGCACTGAAGGAAGGAGAGCTTTATATTTAATGCCTATAAGGGCACTTTCCCTCTGCTCCTGAACGAGGGGCCCCGCAAATGACGCAGCTGACCCTGGTGGTGGAGAGGTGGGTGGTGATGTTAACTGAGTATAAGAGAGCCCACGTTTTTAGGAAACAGACCCAGGAAGCCCCGATTTCTCTGCAACAGAAAGCAACACACTCCGTTAGGGTTTGATTGTCTTTTATTTCTCCCTTCCCACAACCAGTAAAAAAAAAAAAAAAAAAATTACAATCAACGCAGGTACAAGGATCCGATCCAATTTTTTAAAAAAGTCAGTGTGCAAAGAGGGCCACAGCCCTGCCCAGGCTTAACTTACATATTTACAGGGTGTGTGGCCCAGGTGCAGCTATAGAGGCACGTTGAAAAGGCAGTATTACAAAATATACAAAGGTGCTTTCTTTATATTTCGTAGTAGAACCCGGCCTCATTTCCAAATGAGAGCACTACAAAACACAAATCACACTACTACTTACTATATAACTTATGAAAAATGCTGTACAGATGTGCAACTATAAATATAAGAGTATAAATGGCTCTGTTTGGGAATTGGTATCTACAGGGGTTAAGGGTCAGAGAAGGGCTCAGTTTGGCATCCCAACCTGCTAAGGTGACGCATAAGTCAGGATGGGGGAGAACAGGGTCTTGGAGTGTGGCTGCACTGAACCCCCTCCCCCAGGCTCCGTTGAGGATCCCTCCCTCTCCCGGGGCAGACTGGGACGGTTCAGGGTGAGAAGCAGTGGAGGGAGGAGGTGTGAAGACAGCAAGCTGCTCTAGAAGGCACAGAGAAGGCACCGGGGGCAAGAAGCCCAGCCACACACGGACCCCTACTGCTACTTGATGATCACCGTTCTGGGGGCAGTCTGGCCATGCCCCAGTTTCTGCCCTCTGGAAAAGGTTGGCTCTCCGCAGGCATGGAGAAAGGGCAGGAAATCGGAGCTTACCTACCTATGGGAATGTGAGAGAATGTTTGGAAAGAGTTTCTGGCTTGGATGGATGAATGGAAGCTGCCCACCAAACAGCTAACGCAGACATCTATCTTGCACTGAGAGCGAGGGGGCAGATAGAAGCAATTGTCCCATGTCTTTCCTGGGGTTCAAGGTGGCGGCAGAGGACTCAGAGGGGCTGCATATCTTATTCCAAAAGACTCAACAAGGATGATTTTATCTGACCAAGAGGGCAGCCCTGGGCTCTAGCCACGATGGTCAATTTGGCTTCTAGATTAGCCAAGTCAAGAAGAGCCCTAGGCCCTTTTAGCAGATAAACCATCTCCACCCCCAGTGCTCCCCATTCCCCAGCTCTCATCCTCCAAATGCCCAGCTCAGGACCAGGACCACCTGCTTCTCAGAAAGATGGAGCCAACAGGTGAGCCAAAGTGCTCCCTGAACCTCTCTTGGTAGCTCAGACGTGGCTCCCGCCCTGCAAACTCGGGCGAGGACCCAGCAGGGAAGCTTAGATGAGCCACACCTGCCCAGGTGAGGACACCCAACAAGGGACTTGGGGAGCTCTGGCAAAGGGGGAAAGGCCCACCTCTGTGGTCCTCACCAAGTCTCCAAACAATTACACAATTTCCCCCGAAGGGGTCTGGTCTGGGGCAAGGACTCCTGCTCTTGGTTGAAGCAAATCTGTGCTAAGAGAGAGGCATGGCTGAGCGTTGTTCTCACCGTCACATCATCACGTGCACACTTGACACGTGCGTCTTTGAGAACCTTCCACGGATCCCTCCCTCGGGGCTTCCTTTGGAAGAGGACGGCTGGAGTCTGACGCCGGGTCCTGCGGAGCCACCCAGCGGGGGCAGGGCTGGGCGGTGTGATCATCCCTAGCCCTCGTCCCTCCCGGCCTCGCAGGATCGCTGCGCACCTTCCCGCCAGCGAAGCCGGGGAGCCCCCGCCCAGAGGAAGCCCCCGTGCGGGCTGACGCACCGGGCCGAGGGCCATGCAAGTGGGGGGCTGCCGCGAACACCGTGTCTCAGGAGGGAGCGGCCCCCCGCCAGGCAGGGGAAGGCGCGCGGCGCCCGGGGGGATGGGGGCCCATCCTGCCGCCCCCCTACAAGGCCGTGCCGCCAGAGGCGCTCCATGCGCCCGGGGCCTCCCCCGGAGCCGCAGGGGGCGCGTCCTGGACCTCGCGGCTCAGGGCCACGTTATCAAAGGCCTCGGGGGCCTTGCCGGGCAGCTCGGGCTCGTCGTCCCCGCGCCGGCAGCAGCCGCAGCAGTGGCAGCACGAGGGACAGCCGCAGAGCAGGCAGCACGTGCGACAGCAGACCCGGCAGCAGAAGCAGCAGCGGTTCTGGCAGCAGCCGGAGAGCAGCGAGATCACGTCGTCCCAGGGCCGCAGCGAGTGCATCCACAGCGGCAGGAAGTTCCAGTTCTGCAGCCTCCCGGGCAGGAGGCGCGGGCAGCGCGACTGCAGGACATTGAGGACCACCACCAGGAGGATCACGAAGAGGATCGGCACCCCCACGCCCACCAGCACGGGCCAGCCGGCCAGCGAGAGGCCGAACACGGCCAGCGGGATCAGGAGGAAGAAGAAGATCAGGTAGAAGACGGCAAACCAGCGGTACTCGGCTGCGATGTTGCCCAGTCCCTTGGCCAGGCGGATGGGCAGGCGGGTGAACGGGATCGGGTACCACAGCAAGATGCCCGAGATGTTGAAGAAGAAGTGGCACAGGGCGATCTGCAACCAAGAGGTGGGACAGGTGAGTGGGTCTGGTGCCTGGGGTTGTCGGGGAGCTGGATCTTGCAGGCATCCTGAGCAGAGTCAGGGGTCTTCCTGGTGTTCAGAGCGCAGTTCAGAAGGGGCCTGCATTACCTGAGGACTTACTGTGTGTGTGTGTGTGTGTGCAGGTGGGGGGGAGGGCGAGCGAGGTGACCAGATGAATCACAGCTCAGTCCACCTGAAGTCCTCCAGGCAAAAATCTAACAATGAATTTCATGAAGATGCTGCCCAGGGTTTGACCCTGCTGCTTCCGGCTGAGCAGTTAAGAGCTGGGGGGGTGGGGGGGGTGCAAAGGAGCAGCTTGCTGGATAGCTGGCTCCATGTGGATTACTTCAATCCTCCAAACACATCCTCGGAGCTGCTGACCATCATGATCCCCATGTGACAGTGGAGGCAACGGAGTCAACTGAGGAGGAGGTGAGGCTCTGCCCTAAGTCACACAGGTAGGAGATGGTAGAGGTGGGGTTCAAACCCAAGTAGCCTGGCTCCAGAGGTCACGCACTTCGCCCCTTCCCCGTGGGCCCCCTCAGCGCTAGGCATCATGTGAGGGGCTCGGGACCAAGCTGTCCAATATGGTAGCCACTAGCCACGTGTGGCAGCTGAGCCCGTGGCACGTGGCCAGCCCACACTGACATGGGCTGCAAGTGTAGCACGCTGGATTTCCAAAACTTAGTCCAAAAAAGAAGGTAAAACATCTCACCAGCTTTTTAATCAATTACATGTTGAAATAATGAGTTAAATCAGATACGTTATTAAAACTGATCTCCCTGTTTCAGTTTTCTAAAATGTGGCTACTGAAAATTTCCAGTTACGTGGAGGGCTCAAATTTATATTCTACACTCAGATTTCTGTCCGGACAGAGTCACATCGGATCCTTAGAATAATCCTAATGAGATATGGCTCCCAGGTTTCGGATGAGGGAATTGATGCTCAAGGTTAGGTCACCTGTCTAAGGTCACTTAGTGTGGAAAGGCAGGACAAGAATGCAAATGCCAAAGGTCTTCTTGCCCAAGTAACTGAGGTGATCTGGGCAGGTCTCCCTAATTCTTCTAAATTCTGAGCCCAGAGCCCAAGTGACCTCCCAATGTCCAGGCAGAGTTCCCCAAGAGGGGAGCGAGTAGATGGGAAGTGTTTATGCTTCTTGAATATTCTTTCTCTCCTCTACCAAGTAGTGGCCCCCCCGCCTCTGTTTCAACCACCACCAGGGATGGGGGAGGTCTCACAGTGTTGAACATAGAGAAAAACTTGGCTCTTGTTCAAAACCATCTGCTGGCAAGCCCACGAATGGGGCTGTAGCCCACCAGAGCCCCTAACCCGCGCAGCCTTTCCTAACCTGCAGTGAGCTCCTCAGGGTACTGCCGGGGCTGGCCAAGGCGGCCAGAATGGCTGTGGTGGTGGTGCCGATGTTGGAGCCCAGCGTGAGCGGATACGCCCTCTCGATGCTGATCACACCAATACCTGGCAGGAAAATACAGAAACCAGAACATCAGCCCCAGGGGATGATGGGAGATAGTAGTGGCAACAAGGGGAAGCGAGGGAGAAACTCACCGATCAGTGGGGTTATAGAGGATGTGAACACGGAGCTGCTCTGCACGATGAAGGTCATGCCTGCCCCCACAAGGATGGCCAGATAGCCAGTCACCCAGGCAAAGGGAAAGGGAAAATCTAGGAGACAGAAGGAAAAGAGATTTGTCACAGGTCTTCTAAGGAAGGCCTGGGTTGGAGTCCCAGCTGGCACCTCCAGAGGACCTGGAGGGGCATGGGCTGGGCTAGAGGATCAGGTCGGCAGCCTCCCCACCCCACGTCACGGTCAGAAATTACAAATCGGATTTTTAGAATCCTTTCATCTTGCACATTAGGATGGTGGAGCCAAGAATGTGCGTGTGTTATGAAGACAAATACACACATCCACTGAGGTTCAGAAGTAGAGATGCTAAACCCACATGTCATGGGCTGAATGTTTCCCCAAAATTCATATGTTGAAACACTAACGCCCAGAGTGATTGTATAAGGAAATGGAGCCTTTGGGAGGTAATTAGTGCATGTGGGTGGAATCCTCATGAATGGATTAGTGCCCTTGTGGAACAGAGATCTTGCTTCCTCTCTACTCATTCCATGGGAGGATACAGTGAGGAGGTGGCCATCTGTAAATCAGGAAGTGGGACCTCACCAGAACCTGACCATGCTGGCACCCCAAGGCCAGACTTCTCAGCCCCCAGGACTGTGAGAAATACATTTCTGTTGTTCAAGCTACCCAGCCTCGGATAATTTGTTATAGCAGTGGAACTAAGACTCCACCCAAATAACCACCTTCCTCCCACAGAGCACTTGGAGCACTGGGGCCTCTGTCCTTCTGCCTGGCCTGGCCTCCCGATGCCTGTGGATCTTCCACCTTTGTGAAGGAGCATGGAGGCAGGGCAGCAGCTCAGAAGTCCCATACACGGAGCTCTTGGTACCACCCATATGGGATTAGGCCCTGCATACCCAGCAGGTGCCCAGAGTCACCCAGCGCAGCCATATGGCAACCTTGGGACAACCCTGGGAGGCAGATATTCTTGGCCCCATTTCACTGAGGTTTCATGGGGAGGGATGTTCTTGGCTTGGCACACTCTCATTGGCCAGGATGCCATACTCATCAGGAGCTTCTCCTGGCCAGTGGGGTTGCATTGGCTGCCTCAAGATGCTGACGTATTGTCTGGAACCATGTTTTCTTCCCAAGAGTTGAAGGGAAGTGGGGAGCAGGGTGGGCATCCGTTACCCTTTTCCTAAGGGATCCTGACAGACCCGAAAGGCCTGGGTATAGGAAAACCTGCCAGAAGGAAGGTCTATCTCACAGATTTCTGGATTTGAGCTGGCTCTTCTTCAGGACCTTTCAAATGTGACAGAAGCTTGTGCCTACTTCCCCAGACCCCACCCAAGACACCAAGGACGATTTCAAGGGCAAATGGCATCTTAACTTCTTCAGCTTATCAGATCCAAGAGAGAAACTCCATGCAGAGGCCATTGCTAGATAAAAATCTAAAGGAGCCCCCCTCCGCCCCCCACCACCCCGGGAGTGGCCACAGTGATGCCATGCCCTAGAAAGCCCAGAATTGGCAGGGGAGGTGGGTCAGGGTGCCTACCAGTGTTGAGAGTCTTCTTGATGACAACAGCTACCTGTCCCCGGAGCACGGAGCCTAGGAGCTTGACGATCATGATCAGGCAGCCACAGAGGACCAGCAGGGAGACTAACAGCAGGATGATGCCAACAACAAGATCTGGGAGGTTGGAATTCACAAAGATGTGCTGGCCTGAAAAGACAATGGAAAGCCCTTGTTAGGAGGGCCATGGGGCCCCCCCAAGGCCACAGGTTGTTACTCATTCCCCAACATCTTTCTGTATGACAGTAACACAATCTTGGTTGTTAGCTTGACCTATGCAACCCAGAATAAAGACCACACTTCCCAGTCTCCCTCTGCAGCTAAGTGTGACCCTGAGGCTCTGTTCTAGCCAGTGGGGCCTCATGAGGCTAGAGCATGAAGTGAAATCCTTGCAGTCACAGAGTTAGTTGGGCGCTTGCTTCTACCTCTAAATCCCATGGTGTATTTTACTCATGAAACCAAGGATACTTACAACAAAGAGTCTGAGCAGCAAAGGTAGGATGGGCAAGTCAGAGTAGGAGCTATTGCTAACTGTAAAACTCCTTATTTTTTAGAAGTCCTCTGTGGCCCCACAATTATATGGTTTTATTGATGGATGGATAGTGCCACCAAGAACATGGGAGGTGATAGACTCATGGATGCTGTGAGGTAAACCACATTGGAACCTTTACTGCTCAGAATGAATGTGGGTGGTGTGGAGAAGAGGAAGAGAAGCAGAGATACACACATGGGTATATAAGGAATGATCAGAAGAGTTAAAGATGTCTAGGCCAAGATTCCTAGGGCAACAGTCTAGCTTCTTAAAGAACTGGAGCATCATGTAGGCTCACTGCCTTGATCAGTGCTATGGCTCCAGGGTCTTGAATGGGGCCTGCTGTATAGCAGGGACTCATGACTTCAGGGTGAATGTATCTGTTCTGTTCTGTGTGGGCCCCACATCTCCTGCAAATCTGGCTGGCGTCTCCCTAGAGCCTAAGGGATACCAAAGCATACGGAGGGAGCACTCTGGAATCTATTGATGAGTTCTGGTGCATTATGGAACCGCCAGAGGAATCGGGGTTCTGCCCCTCACTGTGGGAACTCGGACCTGTCCCTGAGCCTTTGTTTTCGCTGCTATGAAAGTGCGTAGTTCATGACTTGGTATAATGCTGGTGCTCAGTGAATCCTTAGTGCACTGCTTTCCTTCACTTAATGGGCTTCACACAGATAAAGAACACCATCAGCATCTCCCAGACAGCCCATCCCCATGGCTGATGCTCCGCTGAGTTCCACTCACACTTGGCAATGTTCTCCTTGGAGGTCACGTTCTTGATAGTCCAGGTGTACAAACCGTCCGACCAACAAAGGGAAGGCGAGGTACAGTTCTCAGGCGAAGGGACAGTGACATTCATTTGAGTCTGGATGACAAACATTGAGAAATGGGATGTATAGTCCACAATACTCACTTTTGGTGGGGACTGGCAGGCTATGTGGCAAGTAGGAGAGAGACACACACCAATGTGTGTGTCTGTACGTGTGATGCATTGTTTCCACAGGTCCCTCCATAAATGGGAACACAGGTGGCCACGGAAGACATGAAAATAACAAGCCAGGAATAATGTATACACGGTTCAGGGTGGGGCAAAATGGGTTGGACCTACTGCATTGTCTGTCCATCCAGCATTCAAAGACTTGTTTCCTTAAGGATTCTCACAGGCCAATTTTTACTTCCTCTTACCTCTCATTTGCCCACATTGAATGAAAACTTTTGCTTAAAGCACAGATGCAAGAGTTTGCCCACCCAGCAACATTCTTAGAAACATACCACATTGGTAAAAGTTTTGCACCAAATCTTGATCAGACTCTTGTTTTTGGCGGCTTCGTCATTCATTGCGATTTCATTGATAACTTTCTTATCCAGCTAAGGAAGACAGACAGGAGAGAATCAACACGTCCCCAGCACAGAGGAGGGACAGGCACATAGGAATTTCTGTTAGTTAAAGGGGCTTCAACAACATAAGCCCGACCGAGAGCCCCTGCAGGAGTGAGTCAGGACTCACTCCATCGGCACCCCAGGATGGACCACCACACCTGGACATTAGCAGGTGCTTGACAAAGAAATGAATGATCCTCTAAACAACGGGCTGGTAGCTAGGAGCACGCAGTAGATGGTCATTGGATGACAGCAAACCCAAAGGTAGGGGTGATAAGGGGCAAGGTCTCAGCTGACCTGTTTTCCAAGGTAACAACCACAAAACCTTTTAAAATTTATTTCAACAATATTTCAATGATCCTAGGGAGCAGAGGGGTGAGATGGAAGGGAAGGACAGCAACCTTCCTCTTTGGCTAGGAGCAGGATAATGCTTTATCCATGAGCCCACGGGTGCCGAGGTCAGTAGGGGCAATAAAATGGTCCCAAGCACCCAATGGAGTCTCTGAGTCTTGAGAAGCACTGGTCACTGCCCGCTCCCACCCCAATAAAGATGACTCTTGTTGAGGTCAAGAAAACCAAAAAAGCCAGTTCCGCTACCCGGTGTCCCCGAAGTCTTGCCTCCCCATGGCCTTTTTGAGAGGCGACCAAAGAGCAGCGTTTATAGACCCTTGTGCTTCTCCATCTCCGCCCAGTTGGGAGGAGTAGGGGGATGGCGGGGGTGGGGAGGGGAGGAGTTAGTTCCTTCCTTTCCCTCTCTGAAGGAGGCTGGGTTACCTGGATTATGAGCTTCGTGAGGGGGTCTGTGATGACTTTCAGAAGTGCTGGGGCATCCTCCCCATTCCTGAAGTTAAAGGTCTCCACCACCAGGTCCGTCAGGATCTCCAGGTAATGGGTGGCTGCCTCCAGGGGCAAGAGCACAAATACGGAGAGCCAGTTGAAGAAGTCATGGACAGTAGCTCCTGCAAAAGCCCTATAAGAATCCCACCCCAAGCCAACAGTCGGATTAGTGAACAAGCAAATGGGCACCAGTCTAGGCAGGTCATGGATGGCATTGTCTGCCAGAGGGGGAGGGGGGGTCACCTATCCATGTCCCATTCACATTCTCACAGCAATCCCCACGTGGGCGGTATCAATATCCCCATTTGGCAGATGAGGAAACTGAGGGCCAGCAAGCATAGGGGAATAGAAGACCAGGACCCTTGGTCTCCCATTGCCCAGCAGAGCCCTTGCCACAAGCCAGACAGTACTCAGTTCTCTCTGTGGGGGAAAGGGAAGTAGACAGGTTATGGCTGCAATAGTGAGCTCAGTGGCCACCGTTTGGAAGTGCCGCATGAAGACCACTTCTGAATCACGCCCGTTGAAGACAGTCTTCCTGGGGAAAGATGGGGGCCGGAAGTATGGTGGTAACTAAAGCCCTCAACTGAGTTCTTAACTTTGTTAAGCTCTTGAGACTCCGATGAAACGTTTGAATGGCCTGCACAGGAAATAAGGCCAATATACACCACAATTTAGATCTGAGAAGGTTCATACGTTCCCCTAAATTCCATCCTATCTCCAGATTGAGAAATGAGATTTTTTTTTTTCCTCAATAAAAAAAGTTTCCTTTAAAAAACATCTGCATGTTGGGGCACCTGGGTGGCTCAGTTGGTTAAACATTTGCCTTCGGCTTAGGTCATGATCCCAGAGTCCTGGGCTCAGATCAAGCCCCACGGATGGGGCCCCTGGGATTGGATGGAGCCCACGGATCTGAGCAGGGAGGCTGCTTCTCCCTCTCCCTCTGCCCTTCCCCCCACCCACACACTCGTGCCCTCTCTCTCTCAAATAAATAAAATATTTTTTAAAAAAACACATCTGCATGTGCAAAAAACACCTAAAACCAAAAAAGGACATGAACAGACAGAAGCTAATAAACCTGTGCGGGAAATGCTTAACTTCACTAGTAGTAAAATGTATTTACAATTTATTTACTTGTAAGTGCAAATCTTTGCCTACCATATCAGCTAATATTTTTAAAAGTAACTTATTCTTCCTAGAAAAGGTGATTTAAGACATCTTCATAAAGCGATATAAAGTGATGTAAATATTTCTTAGTAGTTTGGCAAGATGTTTTTTTTTTTCTTTTAAGATTTTATTTATTTATTTGACAGAGAGAGAATGAGAGAGAGAGCACATGAGAGTGGGGAGGGTCAGAGGGAGAAGCGGGCTCCCTGCCGAGCAGGGAGCCCGATGCGGGACTCGATCCAGGGACTCCAGGATCATGACCTAAGCCGAAGGCAGTCGCTTAACCAACTGAGCCACCCAGGCGCCCCTTGGCAAAATGTTTTAAGAGCCTTTGTAGGTGTCAGATATCATCATCATTACTTTTCCGGAAACCTACGGAGGTATTCCAAGCCACCAGGAAAGAATGATGCACATCTCCAAAGATGTTACTGAAAGCAATCTATTTAAATAAAACAAATGAGGGGTGGGCTAGTTCAATTATATTCCTATGTGCAGGCACTTTCATAGATCATGTTTGTATCTGGCGAGTTTATATTTCATATGTAGCAGTGAAAAGAGCCTGAAATCTGGAAGAAAACCTAGATTGAGTCCCAGCCATGCCCCCTAGGGAAGTTATTTAACCTCTTTGTGTTTCTGTATTAATGAAATGGGGCAAAGAAAAGTCTACTCAGCTTCTTGAGAAGATCAAATTAACAACCCCCCTGGATAATGTTGTATCATTATTGCGACCCTCAGGACATTTCATCAGGGACCAAAGAAGGTTAGCTGTGTCTGAGCAGAAATGAGCAACTCGGAGGACCTCTGCCACCTGCCAGTTCACCAAGAGGAGAGGGATGGCATTTGCTGACCACCCAGCCAGCCTGCATAATGCTGTCTGCCCGACCCGTGGGGTGACTGCATCACGTAGACAAACTGCTTCTCTGTTTTAAGAACTTCTGGAAAAAGCCCATCAGTTAGAAGGCAGTTAGAAGATTGTGCTTCATTTTCCTGTTAACCTTTTGGAAGGAAAGGGTTCCCTTTGCCTGTTTCAACCCGCCCCATTTTCAGATCTTCCGCATCCACAAAAACTGTATTTTGCCTTTCATTGGCATGCAAGTGAAGAACAAAGAGGTGGTGGCAGGGGTTGAGCTCAGCCAAAGAGGAAGCTTTAGGAGGCTATATTTATTTCTGACTAAGCGGGATAGTAAATCCTATCCTAACTGGGCTTGTTTTAACTACACCAACATGGCAGGGAAGCTTCTAGCTAGGGCTTGCATTTAGGGAGCTCCGATTGCCTGCCAAGTACCTTGCTAAGCATTTACCTGTAGGATTGGTTTTAGTCCTATGGACAACAGTGGTGACAGCCAATGATCCTGGCTATGCAGACCAGGGAGCTGAGTTTCATCAGCTGGTAAGTATGTGATCCCAACCCCCAGCTGTACTCCACTATGGTTACTTCTAAGAGCTCTAGGAATGACCAACATGTTCTCATGGGCTAGTTAAAGGTAGTTATGGCAACCTGGCCCAAATCAATGAGCCTCATGGCGGGGAAAGGCTGATTCTGAGCTCCTACCTTCTGAACTCATTCCGGTCTCCCGCCTGCATGAGCGCCACAATGGTGTTGGTGATTGAGGTCCCAATGTTGGCCCCCATGATAATGGGGATGGCAGCACGTACACTCAGCACTAGAGGGCGGAAGAGAGAAAGTGAGTTAGCAAGCTTAGGAAGGCAGCCTGGCCATGGTCCCGATGTGGCCAGACTGACCTCAGTCAAGCTGGTAATTGCCAAAGCAGCCTTTCCTAACCATTTTGGGGTTGACACCAGGTATGAATCTGATGCAAGCTAGGACAGCTCATCACAGAAATATGCATGTGTACCAAAAAAATTTCAGGCACATAATTTCAGGGACTCCGCAGACTCCATGAAGAAGCCTTTCTGTGAACCCCAGTTTACAAGTGCCTTTCTAAATTTCTCTGTCCTCCCTATTACAGATGCAAGGCCAACTTATGGGAAAACAGGAAACAATGTTTAAGGACTTGTGTATTTATCATGGCAAATTTCTTTTTCTAACACAATTAGTACACTGTCACAATGTTCTAACATATGAAAGTAAAGATTTTTTTTAAGATTTTATTTTAGAGATAGCATGAGTGGGGGGAGGAGCAGAGGGAGAGGGACAAGCAGACTCCGCACTGAGCATGGAGCCCGACACGGGGCTTGATCCCACCACCCTGAGATCGAGATCATGACCTGAGCCAAAATCAAGAGTCAGACATTTAATTGACTGAGTCACCCAGCTGCCCTGAAAGGAAAATTATTTTGAAGAATACCTTTTTCTAATTTAGCCCAGAAAAGATCTAGTTAATTTTGCTAAAAATGCTGGTTTGAGCTGAAAATTAACCTGTTTAAATTGCAGCCTCCCCCCCCCCCCCGAGTATCTGTCCCAACTTAGCCAGAGCAAACTATCAGCAGGTTCAAGTTCGGAATGCCAGCTTCCCAAGCTCAGTTGTCCCCAAGCCAGTGCGTGATGGGATTACACGCCTTTATTCTTAGCACTGAGCAGTGACGGAAATGTTCCTCATCTACATGGCCCAATATGGCAGCCACTGGCCACAAGTGACTATCGCTCCCCTAAAACATAGTTAGTGCAACCCGGCAACTAGTTTTTATCTTTTAAATTAAAATAAATTGAGGTTAAACAAAATTAAATCGCCATATGTGGCTAGTGGCTGCTGGACTGGACAATACAGTTCCAGAGAATTCAGAGCTGAGTCTTCAAGCCTCGGGGACTATTTTCAGACCCAGCCACGGGGATGGAAACAGGACGCTGCCTGGGACAAGGCAGGGCACGTCACAGCTGCTCAAGACAGGAAGACACCGGTGACCAGCCTGGACATATTCAGAGTAAATCCCAGGCCCCCCAGCTGGACAGGGAAATGCCTGGAATATGTCTGGGCCCACAGGTGCCTGGACTCACGTGAGGAGGCCACCATGCTGACGACGATGGACGAGGAGGTACTGGAGCTTTGCACCAGGACAGTCACCAGCACTCCAATCACCAGCCCCGCCACGGGGTTGGACATAATGGAGTTGTTGCTGAAGAACTGTCCGGCCACCTTTCCTGAAAAAAACAAGGGCACGGTCACAAGAATGTTCGGCGGACACCGGATACACCGGTAGTCTCTAGACACAGTCAGCTGGCTGAGGGGGGATGGCGAGGCCCGCCTCCAGCCCAGCTGGTACCTATGGACTCTTACTTCCATGGGCTTCTTGCTAGTGCTGCCCTGGCACCAGGCCTCCACGTCTGTGAGCTAGCTCCCCATGTACCCCCACCACCTCTTGTTCCTCGTCCCTTCACCCTGCTCCATACTTCTGTCATTCCTTCCCACAGCAAGCCCTCCTCTAGCCTTCTCTGGTCACCAACCTGGCCTCAACTCTACTTGGCCCAATGGGTGTCAAGTGAGTCTCCTGATGCCCTCATTCCTGTCTCTGGGATGTATTCCCCATTCAGAAGATTTATCTCCCAGGAATGGATATTCTCATTCTTATCTATCCACCTTACCCAACCCCCATTCTCCAGCCCCAGCCTAACCTCAGATGCCCAAGACCACCAATCCATTCCCCAACCCATCTATTGAAGACTGAGGCCCAGAGGGTGGAGGCCACTTGTCAGGTACTCAGAGAGTGAAAGCCCTTGCTGATGCTGCCTTGGACCAGGGGGGACTGGGAGTGGCATCCAGGAGGTCAGTCTGCCCCTCATCCATCCCCACAAGTGCCCCCTCCCCCCATTCTCCCAGGTCACAAAGATGAGTTCTCAAGAAAGGCACCAAGGGGTATAAAAATCGACTGTCTTCCATGTCACTGGGATCTGAGTTTGGATCCCACTACACCAGCTCTAGGCTATGAAACAAAGGGCTGGGCAGCATGACCTCTTTCAGCCTCCGGATGCTCCTCGTAAATGGGAAGAGCTTTGGGAAGGAATGTGCAGGACGCCAGGAGGCATTCAAAGTGCTGGCTATCAATGTCGTCACCCATCAGGGGAACACAGGTGACCAAGCAGACACTGATCTCACTCCTGGGTCCCCCCTCACACTGTATAGCCACATTCAGTCCCGGAAGATGTTTAGAAACTGCTAAGGATGCAGATCCACCAACTCTGGGACCCTTGTCCTTCTCTAGCTAAGGCCCAGCCCTGATTTTCCACAATTGCTTTAGCTTAGAGAGCACTCCTAGCTAATAATCTCTTCAGGTGGGAGGCCCAAGACAGCAGGGATCCCTGAGATAAGTCCTTCTGTCAGACAGCTTCCTGTCCAGGGTCAGTGGACAAACACAGGAAGTCGACAGCTTGGAATTGGCTCCAGCCCTGGCTGCTGGCCTAAGCTACCTCAGCCAGTCACAGCCCCTTTATAGACCTCAGTTTTCTCTTCTATAAAATAGGGGCATAACTTCACAAGATGTGAGGTGACTTCTCATCCTAAAACAGGCTGAGAGGCTGCAACTGGAGAGGACTTGCTGACTTGTGCCTATTTGAACCAAATACCACGAAAATCCCCCCACCCCAGGTCTTTGTCCCTTTCATCCATACCTCCAACCAGCTGGAAGGCACTGCTGAGGACATCCAAGGAGCACACGAAGAAGTAGAGAAACCCCAGAAGCAAAATAAATTTCCCAATTCCTTGGAAGACATAGAGAATCTTCCCTTTGGTGTCTCTCTCTGGGGTAGGGGAAAAGGGAGGAAGGCTGTTAGGGCCTGAAACTCACAAGTCTGGCAATGAGCTCAGAGCTCCCCCTCCTCCCCTTCCCCACCCCCCGCCCCAGGTTGGGCTAAACAAGGCCGAGAGATGGGACGCATCCATGACTGCAGTTTTCAAAGCAATTACCACTGTAGTCCATTTAGTTGAAGCCTGTGGTGAAGTCTCTAAAGGATTAGCTCTGGGGAGGAGGGGTTCGGTGGGGTCTGGGGCACTGACAGGCAAACCAGACTCCATGCTCAGCTGCACCAGTGTTGCTGAGTGAGGCAGTTAAGGGCACTTGGCACCTGCTAAGTGTGGGGTCAGAGATAATGGCTCTCCTGAGCACCTTCAGAACAGCACAGAATACTTTCTAGAACGTGGCCGCAAGGTAGCAATCACGGCCTCCATTTGGAGGTGGGCTTGGGCGCTCACACATCCTGGAATGCTATGTCCTCGGATGCTATTTTCTCTGCTCACTCTTACAGTGGTTCTCACCTCCTCCCTCCCAGCTGTCTGATCTGCAGACAGACCCTACACCCTGCACCCGGAAAAGAAATGCAGCGTTTGCTTGCATGCCAGCCATGCTGGCTGTATATTCTATCTTCTGGAAGCCTTCCTCGATGCCCACGTTTAGGTGAGGACACGCCCCTGCCCCCCATCCAGGAGATCTCAGAGCAGGGACCTCGACTGTTCACGGCTGCATGCAGAGCACAGCTCCCGGGACCCAGTCGGCCCACAGTGGGTTATAAGGAGCACCACGGTGCCTGGCCTGGCTGGTACTCCAATGCTAGCACGTGTGCTGGATGTAGGAGAACAAAAGGTCCCCCGATTCTCACACTGTGCTTGGACTCGAAGCCTCCAAGACTGCCGGGAGGTATCCCTAGCCAGGACCTTTGTTTGAAGGGCATCAGAGCACCGGGAAGGAAGAGGACAACACAAAGGAGACGATACCGTGGAGACCGTGAGCCCAACCCCTCACTGATGGGGGTCCCCCCTCCCCACTTTTACCTGACCACTTGATCCCGGTGTCCCGAAGCTCAGGCAGGTCCCAGGGGTCTGCCACCTCGGTGGGCTCCTCTATCAGTGCCACGGTGGAATAGGATGGCAGAAGTTCGATCTTGGTCACAGGCGTCTTGGTGTCATCTACCCAAACAAGCAATGGAGGCCATGAGGAATACAGGTCAGACCTGAATCTCCGAGGGTCCTCACAGGAGGCCAGGCTGGGCAGGACGAACAGCACTTACTTTTGTCGGGCTCCTTGCCTTTCTCAGGTGTGGTGGACGGCTGACTAGTGGTCCCTTCCATGTATTTACTGGGGTTGGGCTGGGCATTTTCTAGCTCGGGCCAAGGAGCCATGGTCTGTGGACGGAAAACAGAGCTTCAAGAAGCAGCCACTCAAAGGCGTCACACTCAGGTGCTACGACAGGAAGAACCAGAGGCCACAGAGATTCGGGAGAGATGAAGGGTGTTGTGCTTATGTACCTTCCAAGTGTGGGCTCTTTTTTTTTTTAATTTATTTATTTGACAGAGAGAGAGATAACGAGAGCAGGAACACAAGCAGGGGGAGTGGGAGAGGGAGAAGCAGGCTTCCCGCCGAGCAGGGAGCCCGATGTGGGACTCGATCCCGGGACTCCGGGATCATGACCTGAGCCGAAGGCAGATGCTTAATGACTGAGCCACCCAGGCGCCCCAAGTGTGGGCTCTTGAGTGCCATATTTCCACCTCTGGGTCTCCCTCAACTGCTCGCCTCAGCTGTCACTACATCAAACTATGTCTTACAGTGTTTTTCCACTCTAGCCTCAAGTCAGCTGAACTTGCCTTGGTTTCTCTCACTTCCTTCTCTCAGCCTCTGTCTTGACTCTCCTTTAGTCAGCAAGTGGATGCGAACCTATCCATTTTCATCAACTCATGGAACACCAAGTCCTCAAGTCCTCCGATGGGTTCCCCCATCCGCTTTTTATTTCTAGGCTAAAGATCTGCGTCGAACCTCATCCAGTGGACTTAACATACGTGTAGATGCTCATACACGTTCTGCCTGCTTTGCCTACCACCCTGTCTTCTGTGAGCAGTGTGACACACTGGAGCTGGCTCGAATCCCAGTGGTGCCACTTATCAGTGGGTGTGTGTTTAGGAATGTCCTTTTTATATCTCTGAGCATAAAGGCATAAATGTCTCCCCACCTATAAAATGTGGATAGTTCTTCCTACTTTGCAGGGTTACAACTTTAGTGGCAATACCTAGGAAGTGCCTGGCCCTAAGCAGGCAATTAGGACCATGCCATGCAGCCTGGATTAATGACCCTTTGTCAGAACCACATTCCTTTTAACTTTTGATAGAGACTTCCTCATAACCCATTTTCCCAACAAAGCCTTTCTTGCTTACACGGACAGTAAGTGTGGCTCTTGACATACTTGGAAGTCCACTCCTTGTGGTCCTTGTCCTTTGACACACATTAGACAGGTGCAGGACAAAGCACTGGGACAAACAATTCACAGAAGAGGAAGTACAGGTGGCTAAAATACTGCAAAATAAGAATTTTGGCCCCACTAACAACCCACGATATGCAAAAGAGAACAGGGAGATGAGTTTCAAAAAATCAAATCAGCAGAGAATTATTTTTTAGGTATAATATGCTATGCTGGAGAAGATGCAGTGAGATGAGCACCACTATAAAGTGCTTTATTTTTAAAAAGACATCTCTGACCTAGTCACTGCACTTCTAGGAATTAAGAATCTAGGAATATTTTCTCCCAGAAAATCCAAAATACCTCCCTGTTCTGATCACTTCTTTGAAGAGATGTTCCCAGAATCTGGGTCTATCTGACTCCTTTCCCACTTTTCTTAAAAGGATCTACTTCCTGCCTACCTAAATGTAAGCTCTACCCCCAAAAAAGAGGCTCTGTCTAGTTCATCACTGCATCCTGAGGGTCTGCATCTCTGCCTGGCACATTGGCAGATGCCCAATAAATGGGGGTTGACTGAATGAATGCGATGCCGACCGAAAAGACGTTGCCGCACCGTGCACTGACAAAGAGATGAAAAGTAAAAACAGGGTAATTGTAGTATTAACCATGCTAGGTCCATGCGATGTAATAGCATGCCATTAAAAAGGTGATAAAGAACCAGGAAAAGAAAAAACCCAGGAAAATGCTTTAGCTAAACTGAAAAGGTACTTCCTCGTCCCACTCACAGCATGTTCTCATAGGATCTGGGAATGCTGCATGGGATTCAGAGTGGGTGATGGGATTGTGGGTGACTTATTTTTCTTCTGTATGAAATTTCCCAATTCTTGGGCGCCTGGGTGGCTCAGTTGGTTAAGCAACTGCCTTCAGCTCAGGTCGTGATCCTGGAGTCCCAGGATTGAGTCCCACGTCGGGCTCCCCGCTCAGTGGGGAGTCTGCTTCTCCCTCTGACCCTCTCCCCTCTCATGCTCTCTCTCACTCTCTCTCTCTCAAATAAATAAATAAAATCTTAAAAAAAAAAAAAAAAGAGGGGCGCCTGGGTGGCTCAGTTGGTTAAGCGACTGCCTTCGGCTCAGGTCATGATCCTGGAGTCCCGGGATCGAGTCCCGCATCGGGCTCCCTGCTCGGTGGGGAGTCTGCTTCTCCCTCTGACCCTCCCCCTCTCATGCTCTCTCTCTCTCTCTCTCTCTCTCTCATTCTCTCTCTCAAATAAATAAATAAAATCTTTAAAAAAAAAAAAAAAAAAGAAATTTCCCAATTCTTTTAAGAAATGCAGCCCAACCCCAGACCCACAAAGTATGATGGTTCAGGGACAGCCTCGCCGGCACTGTTATTCGTACTGATAAAGCCAGGACGTAAGCTGATTCTGGGTGTCCCCATCATGAAGGGGTTTCATCAACTTGTTTAGGCTAAGGAATTTCGACTTTCCCCATGAACTGCAGGGCATGACACGCTCTTCCACAATCACAGGGAAGAACGTCTTGCAGGCACTGGCTTGCCTTTCAACTTAACAAGCATCCAACACAGGGCCCGGCACACAACAGGCCTCACGTGCTTTCCGAGTAGGATGCTGGGACCTGCCTGGCCATCGAGAGAGCCAGTATTTACCGAGCTGGGCTGTGCTCAACCTCGCAGCTACCCATTCGGGGAGTTATTATTCTCCCATTACACAGATGACGAAACTGGGGCACAAGAAGGCTAAGTAACTTGCCCAAGGCCCCAAGGTGTAGAGCTGTGAACCCGGGTCAGTTTGAATCCTGAGCCTTTTCTGACAGACGCTCTTGGGCTGGGTGTTCTCTGCATGGCATTCGATTGGTTTCTAGGAGCAGGCCGGCTTCTGACGTGCGGCCTTCTGGAGTTGCTGTGCCTGCCACAGGTTCGACTCCTCCCTCAGGCTCGATGAAGAGCCTTCTTATAGCTGACAGTCAAAGGTGGGGCAAAGCCTGCTGTTCTCAAGGCCTGCTGGACCCGGGGCAGGGTGGGGGCGGGGGGGCTCCCTGGGGGGTGTTGGGAGGCAGCTACAAGGCTGGAGCCCAGGCAGGGGAGGTGGGGTGGAGCTGGGTGGTTGGGGAGGAGACCAAGGTTGGCCTGAGAGAGCTCTAAGCTCAGCTTAAGGCCACTCTGCAGGTGAACTGGTTCGGGTTTGAGACAGCACAGAGATAAGAAAAGACAGAGCCAGTCCCCCATGCTTCGGAGAGCGTAGGTAAAGTCACCTCTGTGACTCTCCCAACACAGGGATCCTTAGCCCCAGTGTTTTGGGGAAAGAAACAATCTTAGAGCTCTTCATCTCAGTCAGGCGCTAGGCTGGGTACTTTACATAGCACAGAGGTTCAGAATCATACTCCAGCTCTGCCCCAGATACACTGTGACCCGAGCCAGTTACTCGACTGACTCCGTGCCTCAGTTTCCCCTCTGCAGAACGGGGCTTATAACAGTCCATAATCCACTGGGTTATTAGGCAGCTTCAATGAGTTAATCTCTGCAAGGTGTTTGGGACAGTAACCTGTCCGATCAATGGGTTCAGGTTCCTCCTCCCAGCAACCCTGAGAGGGGTTAGTGTTACTCCCATTTTACAGACGAGAAAACCAAAGCACTCAGAGGGATACAGCCACTTGGCCCAGGGCCACAACACGTCTGACTCCAGCGTCCATGCTTGCCTCTCAGCTCCAGGCCTGGAATGGTCCTGGAAGGGATGAGTCACGCAATAATGCCCTGTATCTGATGAAAGCCCCATTACTAGGCACGTGGGAAGATGCCTCTCAACACTGGGGCGGCAGAAGTCAGCGTCCCACTTCCGCATACAGAGCCCAGGGAGGAAGCAAGAGCTCGGTGAACTCAGTCTCAAAGCACCTGCCACTCCAGCTTTTGGCACAAAAGCATTCCACCTGCAAACCTCAGCCTCCCGTCCCTTCGTTGCTGTCTGCGGGGCCCCTTCGAGCAGTCGGCACTTCCCCATCACCCCAGATGTTCCCCCCTCCGTGGATCTTGGCTGTTGGTAGTTCCCGCTATCAGCCTCCCAGAACTGCAAACTCATCTCCGACGCCCCCGCGCGCACCCAGCCCGCACCAGGACCTGCTGACTGGAGCTGGGAGCATCGTGGCTTGTGGTCTCTGGCTCCCTGTCCGTGCCACCTCCCTAGGCTGAGCCCCAGCACCTCCTGACTCAACCAACACATGGCAGCCTGTTTAACTGGTTTGGGCCCCAGTGTCTCTCACCGGTTAACTTTCCTAACACCCAGCTGTGATTGTATGGACTCCCCATTTCTTTACTGCCCACTGCCCCCTAAATGATCCCCCTCCTCACATCACACTGGCCTAAATTTGGGACCCCAATCCTCTCTGTAGGGTGTCACTCTCTGCTCTTGCCTAGGTAACACCCCCCTCCATAGGCCCCCCCCCCCCCCATCTTTCTGTCCAAGCCCTCCCTCCGCCCCTGCCTGAGTCCTGCAGGCCTCTCGGATCATCCCTGCGTACCAGGCAGGTGGCGCCTGTGTGACCATAGGGCTCTCGGCCATACACACAGCCACTCATTTCTAATAACTACCATTTAATGAGCACCAGCGAGGGGCCAGGTACTGTGCTGGGCCTTGACACATATTATCTCCTGCAATCTTTATGCAAGAAAGGGGGCATGCTCATCCCCACTTGCAAACAGGAAAACCTGGAGCGCAAAAAGAGATTAAGCAACTTGTTCAAAGTCACCCGGCAGGGGAGTGACAAGAGTTTTTAAACACAGCTCAACCTGTCAGTGAGGTTGGAGCCCGGATTTACAATATCCTTGGCCATGACATAAACCTATTTTCCTGGAGCGCTGATTTTACTCCCACAACTGGGGGACAGGGAGGTTGAGCAGCTTGACTGGTGGATGATTTACACTGGAGATGTGATATTTCCC